CTGACCAATCTATTGGTTTCCGGTCCGGCAGGCCCACCACACTACAGAGTTGTTGGTGCATCTAAAGGAGGTTGACCAGCTTTAAAGCAAACCTGTGATCTGCCCCTTTAAGGGGGTCCTCTTCACCCCAACACATACTTCCCTATCCTACCCTCACTGACCTCTCTGTTCAGCGATGGAACCCGGCTTACACAGGGTTGTCCTTGCACACCTGGCGGCTATACAGAAGGGGAGGAAAATAAAGGTAAGATGTTCTGCTGGGGCGGGGGCATTAAGGGGAACCAGTTCCTTCATGGGCAAGGCACAGGTTCTCTTTAACCCCTTACCAATTACTCCCATTGGCCTTTAAGGCTTCTGCAGAGGGGACATTGAGGGGAACCTGATCCTTACTCCTCCAAGGGCAAAGCACAGGTTCACTTTAACTTCTTACCAACGACTTCCATTGGACCTTTAGGGCTGCTGGAGAGGGGGCATTAAGGGGAACCTGTTTCTTCATCCTTCAAGGGCCAAGCACAGGTTCGCTTTCACCTCTTATCAATGGCTCCCATTGGCCCTTTAAGGTTTCTTCATCCTTCAAGGGCAAAGCACAGGTGCGTTTCACCCCTTAGCAATGGCTCCCATTGGCCCTTTAAGGCTGCTGGAGAGAGGGCATTGAGGGGAACCTGTTTTTTGGTCCATCAAGGGCAAAGCACAGTTTCACTTTAACCCCTCACTAATGGCTCCCAGTGGCCCTTTAAGGTTACGTATTATCCTTGAAGGCACAGGTTCTCTTTAACCCCTTACCAATGACTCCCATTGGCCTTTAATGCTTCTGCAGAGGGGACATTGAGGGGAACCTGATCCTCCTTGAAGGGCAAAGCACAGGTTCGCTTTCACCCCTTAGCAATGGCTCCCATTGTCCCTATAAGGCAGCTGGAAAGGGATCATTAAGGGGAACCTGTTTCTTCATCCTTCAAGGGCAAAGCAAAGGTTCACGTTAACCCCTTAGCAATAGCTCCCATTGGCCCTTTAGCGTTGGTGGGGTTTCCTGGTCATGTGATTATTGTGATTGACTGTCACATCCTACCGGCTCCTTCTATATTAGTGTTATATGAACCTCCATATGAGCATACAACACATCACAGACCCGTCCTGACACCCATCTCCTCCAATCAGAACTCATCTCTGTACTACACAGAATTCCCTGGCTGAGAGATGGTTCTCCGAAGATCCTGAAGAGCTACAACCTCCCTCCACACCTCCCATTCCTCAGAAATGAAGCCGCCAATGAAAAGCTGACTTCCTGCAGAAATGACATCATTGCCCAAATAAAGTCACATAACAGACATGATGGGTTTGGATTTGGGAATGATTTTGTTCCTGATGAAAGAGATCAGAATTACAGAGGAAGAAGCTCTCTGGGTTTTCCTGCCCCAATCTCTGACCTCATCGGCTTGACATGATTTAGGTTTAAGCGCCGGCCTTGCCCATCATCTGCAGGGTAAAGGAGACGGCTGGTGATCTGGAGTCGCAGGTTCAGACCCCGTTATTGCTGTGTTTATATTACATTGTAGTGATTCAGAACTGACTGAGTAGATGGCGGGCCGCCATGGAGGAGGAGATGGCTGGGAGGTAAGTGCTCTGGTTACCGGCGAGGCCACATGAGTTTGAACCGTTTCTTTCTGGGTCCAAGTCCACCAGCCCTCATCCTTGAGAAATAGGAGGACCACGCCATTCTTCAAGGAGTAGATGGCTGGGAGGAAAGTGCTCCGGATGGTGACAAGGAGTTGTTAGTTTGAATCATTCCTTTACCACTTTATAATTCCACCAGACCTTTCCTGGAGAAATAGGAGGACGAACACATTGCTCTGTGTGAGGAGGAGATGGCTCAGAGGACTCATAGCCTGCTCTGTGGGTTGCCGGTATGATGGGGCTGAGAGTTCGAATCCCTAAGTAGACTCCTGGTGACTCTGGACAGGTTACATCACTGATGGTGCTTGGTGGTCACCATCCACCGAAAAGGGTGATGCAGGCTGGCACCACACACCCGGGTAACCCACCTAGTGCCAGATGGTCACATGGTGTCTGATGCCAGTAGGTGACAAATGTCACCTACTGGCATTTGTAGGTGCCCCTCCAACCAAGCTAGGAGGGTGGTGTACCTGAGACGAGCACACTGGTGCTGTGGACCACTTGCACTCTTGGTACCCTTTGATCACCCACAAGAGGAGTGTCACACATGCAGCATCACAAGGAGATGTCAGCTCTGGGATTTGATCTCACAGCTGCAGGCTTGGAAGGCAGAGGGCCTACCGCTGAGCTATCTCCTCCTCTCATACACTGATGTGTTTGTCCATCACTTCAGGATCTAAGACGGACAAAGAGGAGACTTCAACTCACCTCCCAGCCATCTCTTCCACTAACACAAGGGGGCGCTGCTCCTCCAATTTCACAAAGGCAGAGATGTACAACCACAAAACGACTCCCCCCTATAAGACAGAGCAGAAGCCCCTCCATCTTCTCAGACAGGCGAGGAGCCAATGTCAGTGCATCCATCTTCACTTTTGGAAACTCGATAGTCTCACACTGGATAGGTAACCGCAAAGATCACTGGCAGTCTACTGTCCTACACAACCGAGCACACAGAGGCCACTGCAGGGATCTGAGCCCTCTGAATGATCCAGGGTCTGCCTTGGGATAAGCCTTCAGTTGTGCTCATAAGTATACACATCCCTGGCAGAAGTTGTCAAATAGCCACTTTTGCTGCACCGATGCCTCAAGATAGCCTATTACATCACGCCAACCACTGCCTAGAGAAGCCTCAAAATGGCCAGAATAAAATCATTTGGCGGGATCAGACCAAAATGCACCTTTATGGTCTCAACCGTAAACACTATGCTTGGAGAGGAGTCAACAAGGTCTAAGTACACTATCCCTACCGTGAAGCATGGGGGTGGATATCCCTACCGTGAAGCATGGGGGTGGATATCCCTACCGTGAAGCATGGGGGTGGATATCCCTACCGTGAAGCATGGGGGTGGATATCCCTACCGTGAAGCATGCCGGTGGATATCCCTACCGTTAAGCATGCCGGTGGATATCCCTACCGTGAAGCATGCCGGTGGATCTCTGCTGTTTTAAGTAGGTTGGGTGTGGTGGTGAGGTACAAGGCCACAGGGAATGTAGTCAAAATCAATGGCAGCATATCATCATTTATCAGTCGGGAAGCTGCACACTGGGGCACTTGGACTTTCCAACATGTCAATGGTCCAAAACATAAAGTCAAGATGACCCTTCAGTCACTGCAGAAGAAATACTTGAAGGTTCTGGAGTGGCCGTCACAGTCTCCTGACCTCAATATCACTAGGCCACTTTGGGGAGATCTCAAACAGAGTTCATGATAGACAACCAACAATTTACAGGACCTGGAAGAAGAAGGGGCGACCATACACATAGACCTGGCAGCATGGTGGTGGACCTGATTCTGTGCTACCAGCTGGTGCAGCGGTGGTGTGCTTGGAGCACGCTCGATGGTTACCCCAACACTGTGACCGGATGGCCGCCGACAGCTCTCAAATCACACAGTGAGCAACCATTAACATTGATCACATGATTGGAAGCCCCTTAAAGGGCCCACACCCAATGGCAGAAAAGGGTTCTGTGATGCCCAATAGTTTCATTGGAATGATGTTTGGTCTGATCACTGTGTTAAAGGTCCACGTCATACAAATTCTGCCAATGTGGGCTAAAAACTTATGAGCACAACTATAGCACGAGACCGGCCCAGGGCACGCATGACACGAAAAGGATGCAGGACATATGAAGACGAATGCAGCCCAGCTACACACTGCAGGGACTTTGCTATTTTATTACATGAGAATTGACTGACACCGAGCAATCTAGCAGAGCTCACACAGTCCCACCACCACCATCAGACATTAACTCTTCCGGCAACTGCCAGATTACCCAGATCGCCAGCCTGGGCCTGTCACAAAATTGGGAGAACAGGACGTGCGCTGATTTGTGGTCCCCGAGGAGAATCATCTACCATTAGAAGAAAACTAAAAAAAAAAAATATCTTAGCTCAGGGATGAGGGGCGCCAACCGATAAAAGTCAGAATCGGGAAATTCAACATTCAGGAGGGAAAAGCAGCATTTCTTTGTAGTGGATCTCCAGACAAAGAGGGGCTACAGGTGCAGGGCATGATGGTACTTGCAGCCCTTCAGCAGCCGCAGGCTCTCAAATTATCTTCCCTTAGTATTCAGTAACATTGCCCTACTGGGGCACCAGCGGCACCGCTCTACTGGGGCACCAGAGACAATGTTCTACTGGGGCACCAGCGGCACCGCTCTACTGGGGCACCAGAGACAATGTTCTACTGGGGCACCAGTGACAATGTTCTACTAGGGCAGGGGTAGGCAACCTCGGCTCTCCAGCTGTGCTGAACTACAAGTCCCATGAGGCATTGCAAGTCTTTGACAGCCACAAGTATGACTCAAAGAGGCAGGAGCATTATAGGACTTGTAGTTGCAGCACAGCTGGAGAGCCAAGGTTGCCTACACCTGTACTAGGGCACCAGTGACACTGCTCTACTAGGGCACCAGTGACACCGCTCTCATGGGGCACCAGTGACAATGTTCTACCAGGGCACCGGTAACACTGCTCTCATTGGGCACCAGTGACACCGCTCTACTGGGGCACCAGTGACACCGCTCTACCGGGGCACTGCTCTACTAGGGCACCAGTAACACTGCTCTCATGGGGCACCAGTGACAATGTTCTACCAGGGCACTGCTCTACTAGGGCACCAGTAACACTGCTCTCATGGGGCACCAGTGACACCGCTCTACTAGGGAAACAGTGACATCACTCACATGGGGCACCAGTGACACCATTCTACCAGGGCACCAGTGACACCGTTCTACCAGTGACACCGCTCTACTAGGTCACCAGTGACACCGCTCTCCTAGGGCACCGGCAGACTCTCCCTGTCACCTGTCTGTCCCCAGCCCGGCCGCCAGCACCAAAGGCCTACGTCCAATGACCGTTTTCTGCAGGCTCTCATGGAGAACATACCCCTCCACCCCACCCCCATCTACAGCGTATAAATTAAACAAAACACCTCATTATCCAACAAAAAGATACAAAAAAAATGGAAAAAGTACAGAGGACCCAGCGATTCGAGAAGTGAACGCCGGCTACTTCTCTAGAAATTCTGTGCAGAAAAATAGACATTTATATTAAAGTTATTTTACATATATTTATAAGAGCGCACCAGCCGGGGTCAGTGGTTATCTCTGCAGCCGTGCCGCCACCGTAGCCCGCCCTGCTGGCGGTACCAACCGGCAAGGGCCGGCCAAAGTCCCTGGTGGTCCGAGAGGCAACGCTTTACATGATTGGTGGAGAGGACTGACGTCATGATATTAAGGCACTTGTAGGGTTTGGTTACCGGATACCGGGACCGTCGGCGGTGCAGCTGTCGAGTCCGTCAGTTGTCGCTGGCGCCGCTCTGGCGCTGTTTGATGAAGGCCATGCCGTGCGTGCGGAAGTGGGTGTTCAGATTCAGCTGGCTGTCGAAGACCTTGTTGCACACCTGGCAGGTTAGTTTCCCGTCGGCGGTCTCTTCCGTCTTCTGGGGGGGTTCGGGCTCCTCCTCCTCCGCCGCCTTGCCCTTCATCTTGTGCGTCATGAAGCGGTGGCGGCTCAGCGAGCTCTGCGACGTGAAGCACATGCCACATTCCCGGCACTGGTGGGAGCTCTCGTCCGTGCAGTGCTGGGGGATGTGTTGCCGGAAGTCGCTCAGGCTGGCCGTTTTGTAGCCGCACGCTCGGCACTGGAAGCCGCGCTTGGGTTTCGGGAGGGCCGGTTTGCTTTTCTCAGGTTCGTCGCTGCCCGATTCGTCAGACGAGAGCTTCCTCTTCCTCAGGGCGGCCTGCGAGAGAAAGAACTCCATTGGAGGTCATATGGCATTATTGTCTTATGTCACACGGGGGGTCCCCCCCCAACATAGGTCACTAGTGACGCTGACTGTCATCAGTCCTACAAGAGGAGCCTTTCCCCCCGACTGTGCCCTCCCTCAGTGTGCCCTCCCTCAGTGTGCCTATACACTCTGTCCTCCTGAAACCTGGGTAATGCCATAGAGCCTTGACTGCCCAACCTACAGCCCTTTGGTATTCATTGTGTGGCCCTAGGGCCCTCAACAGCCAGCAGTGGGAAGACTGTTTTGTAAAAGGGTTGTAATGGTAGGGATCTCTAACAGTCTTATGTTAAATATCTCCAGTCTCTGTTTCCTGTAGCATGCTGCCAGTCTCCCACCACACTTGTAGTAATTCCACAGACAGTCAGAGACTGCAAATATACTATAGGAGACAATCAGAGACTGCAGACATACTACAGGAGATGGCCAAAGACTGCAGACATACTATATGGGATGGTCAGAGACCAGGGAAATACTACAAGAGGTGGTCAGAGACTGTAGGCATACTACACGAGATGGTCAGAAATTGGGGACATACTATGGGAGATGGTCAGAGACTGCAGACATATTGCAGGAGTTGGTCAGGGATTGCAGGCATACTCTAGAGATGGTCAGGGATTGCAGGCATACTCTAGAGATGGTCAGGGATTGCAGGCATACTCTAGAGACAGTCAGAGACTGGGGACATACCATAGGAGACTTAGTCACTAATAGTATGTCTAAAGTCTCTGACCATCTCCTAGAGCAGGGGTAGGCAAGCTCAGCACTCCAGCTCTTATCGAACTACAAGTCCCATGAGGCATTGCAAGACTCTGACAGCCGCATGCATGACTCCCAGAGGCAGATGCATGATGGGATTTGTATTTTCAATCACAGCTGGATGCCAAGGTTGACTACCTCTGACCTAGAGCAATTCCAGTCTCTGACCATCTCCTAAAAACTATTCAGTCTCTGCCAATCTCCTGTAGTAATTCTGTAGTCTCTGACAATCCCCTGCAGGATCTTAGAACATATTTTAATGACTGATAATAAATACATGACTGGCGCAAGGGGTCTCACATCAGCTTCAGGCTATATGTCATGCTTGTAGAGACCAATCAGAATCCAGCAGCCATGTATCTAATGTAAGTTGGACAGAGGACAGCGGCAGCTGATTGGTTACTATGAACGGCGGCACATCTGCTGCACCTCTGCTTTGTTTGATCAGTAAAACGGTTATACAGGCTGATCATTCCATAACAGGTACCTGAGATCTGACATTTCGGGTCACCATCACCTCCTGGCTCCGGGTCTGGTCAGTGATTTTGATGCCGTGACGCACTTGGATGTGTTTCTCCAGAATGAGGCGGCTGCTGAAGGTCCGTTTACCCTCTGTGCAGTACCTGGGGGGGAATAAGGGGCGGAGGGTCAGTAGAGGGGGGTACAAAGTGCAGTAAAAGACCCAATACCATCACTCATCTCTATCGCCATCTAGTGGTGAATGTGTATATATCTGTGTCACACCGAGCAGAGACATCGGGCAGTGCTCCCTGTACAATGTATGACAATAACCCTCTCCAGAGGCAGAAACGACGTCCGCTATAAGCAATCTCTGCATGGCAAAGCTATTACCCAGAGTTCCCTGCTCCCTTAGGAAGGTTCTCTGTGTGTATGACAAATAACACAGGCAGAGAGCGGAGGGGAGCACATACTGACCGGCAGGGGTACACCCGCTTTATCCCTTCATGATTGACCCGGACGTGTCGGCGCAGGCTGGGGGCGGAGCAAAAAGAGCGGTCACACAGACGGCAAGGAAATTTCTTCACAGACTGAAAGAAAACGGCAAATGGATCTTATTGTCTCACTTCTATCAATTCCATATACTTCCATCTTCTAATTGTCACGGCTTCTCAATTCTTTTATATATCCCTATATATCCCCAGATCTATTCTCCCCTCTTATATACACCCAGATCTATTCTCCCCTCCTATATACACCCAGATCCATTCTCCCCTCCTATATACACCCAGATCCATTCTCCCCTTCTATATATATCCCCAGATCCATTCTCCCCTCCTATATACGCCCAGATCCATTCTCCCCTCCTATATACACCCAGATCCATTCTCCCCTCCTATATACACCCAGATCCATTCTCCCCTCCTATATACACCCTGATCCATCCTCACCTCCTATATACCCCCTAATCCATTCTCCCCTCCTATATACACCCAGATCCATTCTCCCCTCCTATATACACCCAGATCCATTCTCCCCTCCTATATACACCCAGATCCATTCTCCCCTCCTATATACACCCAGATCCATTCTCCCCTCCTATATACACCCTGATCCATCCTCACCTCCTATATACACCCTAATCCATTCTCCCCTCCTATATACACCCAGATCCATTCTCCCCTCCTATATACACCCAGATCCATTCTCCCCTCCTATATACACCAAGATCCATTCTCCCCTCGTATATACACCAAGATCCATTCTCCCCTCCTATATACACCAAGATCCATTCTCCCCTCCTATACATCCCCAGTTCCATTCTCCCCTCCTATATACACCCAGATCCATTCTCCCCTCCTATATACATCCAGATCCATTCTCCCCCCTCCTATATACACCCAGATCCATTCTCCCCTCCTATATACACCAAGATCCATTCTCCCCTCCTATATACACCCAGATCCATTCTCCCCTCCTATATACCCCCAGATCCATTCTCCCCTCCTATATACACCCAGATCCATTCTCCCCTCCTATATACACCCAGATCCGTTCTCCCCTCCTATATACACCCAGATCCATTCTCCCCTCCTATATACACCCAGATCCATTATCACCTCCTATATACACCCATTCTCCCCTTTTATATATATATACCCAGATCCATTCTCCTCTACTATATACCCCCTCACTCCTTCCTGCCCCCTATCCAATATAATGGACTCTACACATTAATGTATCGCTCCTATATAACCCCATCCCCTCCCCCCGCTGTCTATCTCTCTCCTCCCTATAATTACACTACCAAAGATGCCTCCGGCTTCCTCCTTCTACTATGTACTCTCTGTTTCCGCCTACCCCAATACCCCCCTTCAAAGTACACCCCCCATTCCCTGGTTCCTCCTTTCCTCATACTACCCCTATACACCTTCTGGTCTTTTTCTGTCCCCCCTAAACCTCACGCTTTCTCTCAGATCCCCATATCCATCACTTGTATTTCTCCTCCACATAGCCCCCCTTCCCCTGGAATGTACCCCCGGCCCAAGCACACTCCTGTCTACAGGTCCCATCACTGACCTTGCCGTGTTCCCTCTTCATATGCACCACGTACTCGTCCCTCTCGGGGAACCAAGAGTGGCAGATGCCGCAGGTCCAGCAGTTGCTCCTCTGGCGGGGCCCGTCTGGTTTGCGCAGGTCTTTAGTCTTGGTTTTCTTCTTGACCTCGGGGGAGCTGGGAGATTCCGAGGACGATGAATCCTCAATTTCCGGTTCGGGATCAGGTACTGCCTCCGGTTCCGGATGTGGTGGCCGGCTCACCGGGACTTCCATGGGCTCTGGCTTCGGGGTGACAGGTTCCGGAGTCTGGGGTGGGTCCTCCTTCACTACACTGTTATGAGTCGTCTGCAGAAAGATGAGACCGGAGTTAGCGGACGTGCGGTCATAGTCAGCACGGAGGACGGCAAGGGGAGACGGTGTGTTTAACACACACTCACCTTCAGGTGCTCCAGCATGGTCCGCTTCTGGGCAAACAGCAGGGGGCACTCCGGGCACTTGAAGACGCTCACTCTCTGGTTACCCAACTGCTGGTCAAAGTGTGCATGGTCCAGATGAGAGCAGAGCAGGGGCTTGTGGGTAAACACTGTATCGCACATTGCACACTTGTAGATCATCCTGAAGAATAACATGAAAAACATACATTGTTGTTCCATATTTTCTGTATCATACGTCCCATTCTCCCCTCGTATATACACTCAGATTGATGCCCCCCCACCCCCTTCTATATATCCCCAGATCCATGCTCCCCCCCTTCT